GCGTATTCAGCATTATAAAACTTAACCTTTACTTATGTATCATTACAGATTTGTTTTACTGTGATAGAAGTATGAATAAAAAAGAGCCATATAAGAGTTGTTTGGAACCTTTATTTTATTGCAAGTCAGCAATTTCTTCTCTCTCTCTCTCCTTTCTCACTCTTTTATGTTTCTCTCTCTCTCTTTCTCACTCTTTATGTTTCTCTCTCTCTCTTTATCTTTCTCTCTCTCTCTTTCTCTTTTCCTCTATCTTTATCTCTTTCTCTTTTTCTTTCTCTTTATCTCTTTCTTTATCTTTTCTTTCTCTTTTCTCTTTTATCTCTTCTTTTCTCTCTTATCTCTCTTTAATCTCTCTTTATCTCTCTTTATCTCTCTTTCTCTCTTTCTTTCTTTCTCTCTCTTTCTCTCTTTCTCTCTTTCTCTTCTTTCTCTCTCTCTCTCTCTCTCTCTCTCTCTCTCCTCTCTCTCTCTTCTCCTCTCTCTCTCTCTCTCTCTCTCTCTCTCTCTCTCTCCTCTCTCTTCTCTCCTCTCTCTTCTCGCTCTCTTCTCTCTTCTCTCTTCTCTCTCCCTCTCTCTCTCTCTCTCTCTCTCTCTCTCTGCTCTTCTCTCTCTCTCTCTCTCTCTCTCTCTCTCTCTCTCTCTCTCTCTCTCTCTCTCTCTCTCTCTCTCTCTTCTCTCTCTCTCTCTCTCTCTCTCTCTCTTACCTTATTTCTGAAAATTTCCCAAAAGGTGATAATTGTTTTAAAAGTCTTCATCTTCACTTCTTCACACTTTTTGTATTCACTCTGCAAAATTTATTGGTATTTACAGGTGCCGTCATTATCTTCACTGGCCTCCTCTCTGTGGCTTTCTTGGGACGCAAGTTGAGGTATTTCCAGTGGCTTGGAATCGTAGCTGTTATCGCTGGATTAGTGGTTGTAGGCGTTTCTGACTTTATAAGCGGTGATACAGAGGGTGAATATACTCTGAACGGTATCATTACTGGTAAGTTAAGCAAGGTAATTTATTTTTATATGCAGTATATAAATCTTATTTTGTACATGTTTACATATACATAAGCTGTTTATATCTGAAGAGCACTTGGAAGAAAATCAAAAGGTGCATTATCAGGACAGAGAGAGAGACAGTGTCATATTTTTCTTAGAAAATATATCTATTTGCACACATTTTTATAAAAGTTTTGATATATCATTAATATTATTGCAGTGCCTGCTTTGTTCAAAAGAACTTTAAAGATGCTTTGACATTCTTTTCATACTATTTCAGGGTATTAGATAGATCATGATATCTATAGTCGTCAGTGTTGTATGTGAACTGTGACAACGTGTAGGCAGAAAAAAGCACACTCTTTTCTTCTTCTTCTGTCCAGTAATTTTTCTTATGCTATCAGCCCAGCATCATTAGAGTTAGTCTATCTTAAGTAATATACCCATTTCAACATGTTACAGGTGATCTTCTCATCATTGCTGCACAGGTTGTTACAGCAACACAGATGGTAGTTGAAGAAAAGTTTGTGACTGGCTATCGAGTGCCTGCTCTCCAGGCTGTTGGCTGGGAAGGTAATATTCTTCAGCGATCAGTAAAATTGCTTTGAGTCGAAAGAATTATATATTAAACCCTACAGTCCCCATGACATGACCGTCATCTCATGAAAAAATTTGGCAGGTGACATAAAGATGCTATCATGGGAAAATTTGGCTTTAGGCTGGGGTGATGTGAACTTGTCATTGTGAGCATTTTGGCCAAAGGTTGGTGTTTAAAAAGGAGCATTTGCGTTGATTCCATCAATAGAAGAGTCTGGAATGTAATTGTCCGTGAGCCATAACTGGAAGAGTGCGAGCTCCAGGGAGGACAACATTAACTTGCATTGAGTTATGACTGCTTAGGGTGATGATATGGTGTCTATGCCAGTTTCTTACCATCCAGATAAAGTAAATTTAATGACAAATATAGACATTGGGGAAATTGCATAACAGCTAAAAACACTTGTGCCAAAAATGACAAAATAAGATTGTAAAAGGGAGGAATGGAGTCTTGTCACACTTGTTCCGTTTGCACCTGGCCTACAAGTCACCCACCAGAGTGTCCACTCACATAAGCCTAATGCTCATATTTTGGGCCTCATGAGGGCAGTGAAGAAGCTGTATCCAGTGGGTTTATTATAGAGTAGGAGGAGCTTAAACTTCCACAATGGTTTTTGAAATCCAGCAGTATAAAAGGAAAAATATTGAAAAAGAAAGAAAATTTCTGTGATAGTGAGATGTATGTACATTCTCTATTCAGGTGTTTTTGTCATCTCCAATATTAACTTCTTGCTAATCACATAGGTATGTATATGATGAGATGCATCTACTATTTCATTCCAGGTATTTTTGGCTTCTGTACCCTTAGCGTCTTACTGGTCGCATTCTACTGGATTCCGGCTGGCATATTCAGTGGCAATCCAAGGCAGGTTCTGGAAGATGTTCCTGATGCCTTTGTTCAGCTTGGCAACAATCCT